CAGGGAAGGGGAACAGACAAGTTGCTGTCCTTTTGTTCTTCAGTCTAGTTGTGGAGGACGTTGCTTCACTGGCCCATGTTGGTATTATCATTGCTCTCTTCCCGGGTGAGGTAGATCCATCGCCGGCCTCTGGACGGCTGCTCACGGCGGCTCTTGGCAGCTCACACTGGCTACCAGCTGCTCACGCTGGCTGCTGGCTACACACGGTAGCTTATGGCAGCCCACTGCAGCTTCACTGCAGCCTATGCCGTAGCCAGCGACTCACAGCAGCCCAGCTCCAGGTCGAGCTGTTCACCATCTTAGCTGTAGAGCGCAGTGTCACTGGCCCTCATGTGGGATCCAAACCGGGACTCTACTGCTCAGAGCTGGTGTCCCAAGCCAGCTCTTAACCAACGTGTCACTTGGCTGGCCCCCACTTAGAAAGTTTTTAAAATACAATGTCTGATTTACAGCTTGACTAGTAATTAAAACCTGCAGTCCTTTTAACACTCAGCCAGGACACACATTATTTCAGAGGAGATTCTTTGAATTGAATTATAGCTTTGAAGTAAGTACCCATTCTCACCTCCGCCCTGTTCCCAGCATTTCTTAATGTGGGGGCAAGAAAGGGAAGGATGGTACTGCAAGCAGATTCAGTGTTCACTTGGCTTTCACTAGGAAATATTAGCTGTAATTTTCAAGTGATGGATAAAGTCCATAGCTTCTGATGAATGAACAAAAGAAAGATAGTCAAATAGTCTGGATAGTACTGTGTCCATTTGATGGGAAAGAAGGACACATTTATTATTCAATCCATTAGGCAGACATTCTTTTATCCATAAGAAAATATATACATACTTAATTTCTTCTACGTTTATATCTTTGTAGACCAGAGATATTAACTTTCTAGACCAGATATTGATGAGCTTAAAGAGGCTCATAATCCCATTGAAATTAAGTGCAAAATTTGTATGTACATGGAACTTTCCAGGAAGAGAAGGTTTTAAATCAATTCTCAGAGGAGTTTGTGACTCACCCCAAACACACACACAATGAACAACAACGGAGTCTAGTCCCTCTTCGCTTCTCAAGAGTTCTCTTGCTTTTAGCAAAGTCACATTAATCTCATGGCTCTCCATGTGCTGCTGCCATCTAGGGCCAGGTGAGTCCTTACTGGGCAGGACTATTCCACTCATTCTAATATGTTAAGCACCCCTGGCACCTGCCCATTAAATGTCAGTATCACTTCCTTGTCACTGTGGCAACCAAAAATGATCACACACATTTCCAAACTCCCCTTAAAGGGCAGTAACTCCCCTGGTTGAGAAGATGAAATCCACCTTCTCTTGCTTCTTGTTCTTCATGAGGAAAATGAGGGGGTGGCTGAGATGACCTGTTGGGTTCCTTCTAGCTCTATGATTCAGTTACATCTTGCACCCTCTTTGAGTATCAAGTTTGTTCCTATTCTCCCCGCTATACTGACAGATGTGTGTTCCTTGGAGGGGCCTGCATGGTACCGTAACAAGTAGAAA